CGCCAGCTGTTAACAGATGGGGAGTTGTTGGTGCGCTCATCTGCGCAGCCAGCCGGTGAAACGGAGCTTCTGCTCTGGGACAGCAGCCGCAGTGGTGGGGAAGACAGCCGCCTCCTTCCAGGATCACTGCTAAAGACTTGAACGAGCACAGCAGGGACAATACCTTTGCTGCGACCGACAGGCTGGGCGCCAGGAGCCAGGATCAGGAACATCCAGCCTGTTGAGGGCAGCTAGGGACAACGTCCTAAAAGAGGGGACTTTGAGGCTGGACATGGCGGTTCACGCCTGTAATCCCAGCACTTTGGGGGACTGAGGCAAGAGGACTACTTGATCCCAGGAGTTCCAGACCAGCCTGGGCAATGTGAGACCTATCTCTACAGAAAACTTAAAAAAAATTAACCAGGTGTGGTGGTACACACCTGTAGTCCCAGCTAACCAGGAGGCTGAGATAGGAGGATCTCTTGAGCCCAGGAGTTGAAGGCTGCAGTGACTTGTGATCATGACACTGCACTCTAGTCTGGGTGACAGAGCAAGACCCTGTCTCTTAAAAAAAAGGGAACATTGAAAGTGAGACCTGAGAGATGTGTGAGCCAGGTGGGGAGGACGAGGAGTGGGTCAGAGCGAAATGGGGAGAACGGCATGTGCAAAGGTCCAGAAGCTAGGGGAGCCATGCCCACCAAGGACACGGTGCTGTAGTGAGGATTGGGTAGAGTGCCTGTTTGCTGCGAGGTCTGGTCTAGGTGAGGAGGGGGCTGCAAGTGCCAGGTGGGGTGGGCAGTAAGACCTCTTGCCCAAGACACTGTGCTTCCCCATCAGCTGAAGTCTCTGAGTGCCACATGTTTGTCATGTTTATGCGGCCTTCTGCAAGGCCAATGATGACAGTGAAAGATGAGATTTCTAGGGCTCTGCTGGAGCCCACTGTGCCAGGCCCCTCACAGAGGGCTCTCATTCAGCCCTCACAACCTCCTATCTGGGTCATGCTGTTGGTCCAGCTGTGTAGGATGACAATCGGCTTGAGGCCACGCAGCTAGCAAAGTAAAAGAACCAGGACTTGAAACCAGGTTCCTGGCCTTGTCTCTTGGCCTGAGCTGCCCTTACTAGTGCCCAGTGGTGGCAGCAACCATCAGTCTGTTCACCTGCCCGGCACCCGCTTCTTCAGGCCTCTGTTCTGTGGGACTATGGGCAGAGGCTGGTTCCTTGGGAGAAGGTGAGTCGCGGGGCAGAGACAGGGGACGAATTTTCAAATCAAAGTACTCACTAAGTGTGTGACGAGCCTCCTGTTCTGCTTTCCTTGTGGGTAGTGAGGATCAATTTCCCAAGAAGAAATCAATCTGTTGGAATGTGTCTTACTGGAGAAGGCCTGGCATGCATCTGTCAAACGGAGAAAAAAGACCCCAAGGAAGCTTTTCCTGGATAGATGCTGGGCTACTGACTCAGGCTGTGTGCTCAGCATCACTCAGGGTGGATGTGTTGCTCGTGCAGGACGCAGCATCAGCGGGCCAGGCAGCTCGGTTGGGCAGATCCTCCAGAGCAGGGGGGCTGAGGCAGTTAAGACAGGTGCAGGTGGTCGGGCCTGCCACATCCACCAGGGGAACCGTGGTGCTGGGCTTGATCAGGCCTGGTGCTTGGACGGGACTGCCCTGTGGGGACATGGCAGGAGCTTCCCCGCAGGATGGGCTTTGGACTTCCAGTACCTCTGACCTGGTCTTGCATCTGGTGGTCCTGGGAGTAAGTGACAGACAGAAGGGGACAGAGTCCCCCATTCTGCTTCCCCCAGCCAGGAGCCTCCCAGCAGGCCTGCCATCCCTGCTGCCTCCAGGCAGCCATCTCAGCTCTGGGGCTCCTCAGCCTTGTCCTTGTGCAGAAGCAGCCATAAACATCGCTAGCGACCGGGTATGACCATGTACCAGCTAAACTGCATTTGCAGAACAGGGACCCTCAGGTGACACGTTCTGAGCCCTCATTCTTTGGGAGACTGACACCCAGAGGCCTGTGCTGGGGATGCAGAGCCTGAACTCCCACTCAGGGCTTCTGGTCCAGCCCAGTGCCGTTTCCAGAAGAATGAAGGGAAAACCCAGGGGTCCCCAAGAGATTAAGAGGATGGGGTTACCAGGGCTGTGAAAGGGTTTGACTTGGAGGCGGGAGGGAACAGGGAGGTTAAGGTCAAGAGGACAGGTTTCACTGGTCCAAGTTCTGGATGTGTTTTATTTCATTAAATCCCTGCGACAGCCCATGAGGAGGTGCCATGATTGTACCTGTGTCACAGATGGTGTAGCTGAGTCAGGGAAGATTAATTCGTGTGTTGTCCTGTAGCTGTCCTCAGTCAAGGGCAGGTCTGGAAACAAGACCAGGGTCATCATTGCCTGCCACCCTGGCCTTTCTCAGCAGGCAGGGCTGAGGCTCTGTCTTCAGTTCCCCAGAAACCCCCATCACATGTTCAGGACCTTAGTGAAGGCTGAGTGAGGGGGATGGTGTATGTTGAAGGGAGAAGGAGGAACCCTGCCCTCGGTCCACACCCCAGACCCTGCTCTGGGCCCTGGCCAGTTCACTCAGTTCTCATGCAGTCTGTGAGGCCGTCCCGTCCCTGCCCCCCACTGAGCAGATGGGCAGTCGGGGCCAGGGCCGTTAGGCGCATTGCTGGCCCTGCCTGTGTTCTGGGTTTGGTCCTGGCCTCTGTGCGTCCTGCTGCTCACTGAGAAGATTCTAGCACCCCGGAGGGTTAGAGGCAGGAGGGGTGGGGTGGAAGCTGAAAGACTGAGCGGCTGCCCATCATGCACAGGTGCCATCAGAGCCCCCCAGCCTCCCCATCTTCGGTGGCAGATGGGTGCACAGCCATGCAGAGAGGGACTTGACAACATACCCATTCAGAGTTAGCGGAGGCAGTTCCTTAGCCCAGCTCTTCTGGGCAGCCGGCAAACATGGGATATGGGGTTGGACAGAGCTCAGGACCCACAGGGACCTGCAGGACTGCAGTGTGACCCTGGACCTGAGGGGACTGCCTGTTCCATCAGGTCCCAGAAGGGAGTTGCCACCCAGCCCAGGAGGGCCACGGTGTCTGGGTCTCACCCCCATCCCCTTGGGAGACTCTCCCACAGCACCTGCCTCCCACCACCCCCACCAGGTGCCCAGACACATGGTGGTCCAACTCTAGACGGGGCCACATGGACCCTGTTTGCTGTCAGTGTTTCATGTATCCAACAATACTGTTGAAACAACACCTGTGAGATAGGAGCAGACAGATGTTCAGCAACCAGACGGTGCAAGCAGAACAGCAGGATGGCTAGGAGGGCCTGAAGGGTCAGGGGGCACCATCAGATCCCTGGGTCAGGCCTAGGGCTTGCGGCATGACTGTCCCCATCCTTCTCAGTTCCCCTGAGCTGGCAGAGTGCCCTCCAGGCCTATGTGGTGCCTTGTGTGTTGAAGCTGTGTCGGCCTCTGTCCCAGCCTTGGTGATCCTCCTGGGCCAGCCGCAGCTCCCCTGTGCCATGTAGGCAGGGAGGAAACCCAGCCTGGGTGGACACTGGGCCTTCGTGGCTCTCCCCCTACTCCCTTGGAGGCCTCCATCTCCGGGAGCCTCACCCCTGCCTCCTTGGTGAGAGGCTGTACTATCCTCCAGTCGGGTCACCCAGGCCTCTGCTATCCCAAGTGTGGATGGAGGGCTAAGCGTGGCTTTCCCAGGTCTCCTAGAGCTGGGCCCTAGGCAGAGACCCAGGACCGGGGCGTTGCTCTTGTAGGTGATATCAGTGAGCACAAGAGACACTCTGCCATACAGGCAGGCCCTGGGTGAGTATGGGGGGACCTCGGTGTATGGCTGCGAACAGGGAGCAGCTAAAGCTGGACTGGCATTCATGGAGCAGTAGGTGGGCAATTGGCATCCAGCATATCCTACGTTCATTGCCCATAGTGACAAGAGGGTCTTGGGAGCCAGGGCTCTCTAAACACCATAGCACATGCTCATGGGCACAGGCCGACTCAGACCATGGGCCAGAGAATGTCCAACATGGCTCTCTGGGGTCTGCCTTGTCTGGGGTCTGGGCAGAGCTAAGAGAGAAGTGTCAGGGCCAGCCACGAGACCAGCCTTGTCTAACACGACAGTGCCTTCCCAGTGGTCATCAGTCCCAGCAGCAGCGGAGACAGGACAGTACATGGCCATCGGGAGGTCACTGTAGGGGTCTGCTCCCTGGTTGGGCCAGCATCTGGCAGAGAGATGTCTCTGTTGCTTTCGGAACAGAGCCTCCATCGAGATCCCAGCTAAGAGGATGAACCGATGGTGTTGGCTGATGTCTCGGAAATGGCAGGGTGGCGCTGAGGCCTCTGTAATCCTCACTGATGGGTGAGATGGGGGCAGGTTGGTCACGAGCAGAAGATGACCTTGAGTGGTGAGGGTTCTGTCACAGGATGAGAGGCACGGCTCCCTTCCCCACAGCTGTCAGCAGCCTTCCTGTGTGGGGGGCCCAGCCGGGCTGTGGCCCTGCCTGGAGCCGTGTGTCTGACGGGAGGTGAGACGTGCACTTCCAATTACAATTAGCATCAGCGTGAAGTCTCCCCAATCACTTTCTCATAATTAGCTGTTGCTTTCCCCGCGTCTGTGTACTTTGCAAATTCGTTGACATTTGAGAGCCCCGAAATAGGGACTTTGTTGGGGGGAGGTGGCAAGGGGGATGGTCTTTCTTTTCAGCAGCTGATCCTCACTGGGATAGTGGAGAAGGGACCCAGGTTACTTCCTGAGCAGAAGGGGCAGTGGGGGCTGGGTTTTGGGGTCAGCGTTAGACTTTAGAGAGGATGTTCTCAGAAAACCTAGGCATGGGTTTCCTAGGGGGCCGTGAGGCTGCACGCTTGCCGGGTCTATCATGGAGATGGTTAGGTGGCTCAGGCAGGTGTGGCTTGATTGTCCCTGAACCAGAGGTGGGCCTGGGTGTCCCAGGTGCCAGGGAGCTGTGCCGAAGGGCTTGTGTTCCCTGACTGGCTGTTGTTCACTATCTGCTCTATTTCCCCCTCAGCACTGTGCACAGAGGAGTGTGTCCACGGCCGCTGTGTCTCCCCGGACACCTGTCACTGCGAGCCTGGTTGGGGAGGGCCTGACTGCTCCAGCGGTAAGTCTGGGTCTCTGGGCACTGAGGGCCTGTCGCCGACTCGGGGGCTGTAGTGTGTGCATGCTACATTTGTGCTGGGCTGGTGACACGGAGTGGGCTACCTGTGCCTGCGTGGGCACCAGGAAGGCAGCATGGGCACTGTCCCGACAGCTGGCCGGCCACCTGAGAGTACCGTGCACCTGTGACTGACATATGATGGTGTTGTGGTGTCGTGGTTGTGGGGTGTAGGGCCTGTGAGTTGGGTGTGTAGGGAACTGGGGTCATCTGGATGACTGAGACTTTCAGTGGAACAACTCTCGATATGGTGTCTGAGGGCTGAAGTGGATTGACAACCGCCTAGGAGCGCAGACCCTCCTGGTCCCCACAGTCTAGGACTGGGCTCACTGGCTAAGTTTTGTGGGTGCCCACCTAGGCTCAGGGCACTGAGTCCTGAGACTGGTGGGCTCTGGTATATCTCCGTGTCCCCAATGTAGGAGAGTGGCCCTCATGGGCGGGTCGCTGTGCCAAGTGTTTTTGTGAGTAGATAGTTGTGTTAACTGGGGAGGCCTTCCTGGGGAGCGTGAGTGGGGGACACTCTCAGGGCTGACCTGGGACTTGCTGCAGCATGAGGCATTGTCTCCATGGTGGGACCGGCTGCCTGGAGGGTGGAGTACCCCAGCAGCTGCTGGGTGTCCTCTGCCAAGAACTGGATAGGAGAAACCTCCTTCTTCTGTTCCCCCAGACCCTCACAGGCAGCCCCTTTTCACAGCACGTGATGCCCTCAGCAGTTGGTCGACGTCGTGGCCTTATGAGGTTTTCAGGGCAACCTTGACCAGTGCTGGAGCCCCAATTTCTTTCTGCTTTGAGTTGGAGTAGAGTCTTTTTCTGTTGACTTGAGCAGGTGATGGAGCCAGACGCATCCCTCAGGGATCTAAGCTGCATGATTTGCCGGTCTTGGGGCACTGACTCTGGTTTCCTTCTTCCACACTAACTACAGTGGTCATGGAAACCTGGAGAGGAGAGTGTTGGGTGCGCATTGGACCCACATGACACTCTCAGCCTTCCCCAGGGTCTCTGCTGGGGCGGCGACTCTTAGACTTGGTCCCTTTCTCCCGGGACCTTGATGCCCACTAGGCATCCAAGAACACACTGGCCAAGACAGGGCGACTGGTGACCATCTTGGCTCAGGGAGTCAGGGTCTGTCTGGGTGTCTGAGAGAGTCTCCAGTGACCATGGTGGCCTCCCACTTCCACTTGCCCGCTGCTTGAGGAGAGCCATGACCGAAAGAAGGGGCTAGACAGCAGACGTGCACCTGAGGTGAGCTGAGGAAGGTGTCTGCCTGTTGTTCTGTGACCTTGGCCTATAGGAGACGCATGGGGTGGTGTCGCTATCTTCCATATCTGTTTTGTTTTGGGTAACTTTGCTTACAATGAGCCATTGCTTTTACATTTTATTGTAGATATTGCAGGTTTGGGATGTGGGTATATTGTGTGATGCTGAGGTTTTAGCTTCTGTTCAACCCCTCACCCACATAGTCAGCACGGCACTCATGGGTGGTTTTCAACCCTTGTCCTCCCTTCCACCGCCCGCTTTGGGTGTCCTGTCCCTATCTTCTTGCCTGTCTGTACCCAGTGCCTAGCTACACTCATAAGGGAGAACATGCAGTCGTTGATTTCTCGTACCTGTGTTAATTCACTTAGAACTGTGGTTTCCAGCTGCATTCATGCTGTTGCAGAGGACATGGTTTTGTTTCTTTTTGTGACTGCACTATTCCATGGTGTGCGTGGACCACAATTTTCTTTATCCAGTCCACTGTTGATGGGCATCTGGGTTGGTTCCATCACTTTGCTTACAATGAATCTAGGATGAAATACCTAACCCTGCTGTCATGGGTCTGCTCGCCACTGTTGAGTTCTGGTGCAGAGGGCAGCCCAGAGGAGGTTAGAACACAGCCAAATCCTGGGGGCCTGTGCTACATGCTCAGAGTTGTGTGGGGTGGGTGGGCCCTGGAGGGTCTTCAGACATGGTCTGTACCTTCTCGGGACTTCTAGTCTAGGGAAGAACTGGAATGAAGGCAGCATTTGCCTGGGACTGGGCAGTGTGTGTGGGTCTCGCCCCAGTTGAACTCACTGGGCATGTGGGGACACCCTTGCTACTTAGTGCAGGATGGGCTGGCCCACTTGTCCCCAGTTCATTCTCCAGACTCAGCCTGAGTAGCCCGCGAGCTGCCACTGTCCACTGAACCCACCCTCATGGCTGAAGGCCACCACTCTGGGCCCACTCAGGGACGTGTGCCACTGACTCCACAGGAGGGTCTGGCAGGTGGGCTCCAGCCCTCTTTTGAGGGACAGCAGCACCAAATTGAGTGAGTTCACAGATCCTCACTTCCCATGTCTCCCAGAGCATTGAGGGTTTAGTTGCCCTGTGGGAGGCCTCCAACCCCTGCTTAAATACCCCTGGTGATGAGGCACTCACCACCTCCCGTGGAGGCTCCTTCTCATAGCTGGGGAGCTTTTCCTTCTGTTTGGTGGAACTCTAACTCTGGCTTCTACTGGTGGGTCTCCCTTGTGACAAAGACCAGGGGAAGTGATGGGGCCCCGTGACCCTCCTTGCCATGTGTGGAATTTCTCCCAGCGGTCTCATGGACAAGGCCACAAGCTGCGTGTGGAGAGACGGTCACCTCAGAGCAGTCAACAATTGCTGTGGAGGCTGGCAGAGGAAACCTGGGCCCTTCCACGGGGCAGTCTTGTGGGTCCTAGGACACAGTGGCCCTTCTCGTCTGGTCTTTCTTCTCCAAGTTCCCTCATTTCTCAGAGATGTCACCTGGGCTGCCTTCCCTGCCTGTCTCTCCATGGACTGTGGCCTTTACTTTTCTTAAGTTACCATCCCTAGCTCTGACCACACAGCTGCAAGCCTGGTCTGACCGGTAGGGAAAAGTGTGATGGAGACAGCTACTGCCCACTGAATGTCACTGTGTGCTGGGTGCTTGCTTCACTTGTCTATTCATTTAATCTCCACAATAACCCTAGGGCACAGGAATTATTATTCAGCCCCATTTTACAGATGAAGAAGTTGAAGTACAGAGAGGTTCAGGGACTTCCGGCAGGCACACAGCTGGTAAAGGGCTGGGCTGGAGCTCTCTCTCCACAATGCCTGAGTGCTGTGCCTGAACTCGTAATCATTGTGTGCTCCTTCTTCTGGACGCTCAGGCTCTGTCCACAGCCGAGGCTGCAGCTGGCCTCCAGCACGTGGTCATGGGGAGGAGACTCTGCCTAACAGTGTGACCTGAGATGCCGTTGTGAAGACAGTGTGATTGGCTGTGGGACGAGGATGGCCACCAGGGTACCCCATGTAACCTGAGCCTGCTTGCTAGGTGCCCCTGGAGAGCCATCTGTGGTGTGTGCTCTGCAGTGCCTCAGGGTCTCTGTGGGGCTTGTCTGTGGGTCCAGCATCTCAGTCCTGCAGTTAGTATCTGGAGGTCTCGGAAGGGGAAGCTGTGGGTTTTGTTTAATCGAAAACAAATTTAAACTTGTTTGTTTGTTTCTCTCTGATTCTTACATTATATCTGTTCTTGTTAAAAAGAAAATATCAGAACAGGCATGGTGGCTCACGCTTGTAATCCCAGCACTTTGGGAGACCAAGACAAGAGGATCATTTGAGCCCAGAAGTTTGAGACCAGCCTGGGTAACATAGCAATACTTCACCTATACAAAAAATAAAAAAATTAACTGGGTTTGGTAGCACCTGTATTCCCATCTACTCAGGAGGCTGAGGTGAAAGGATCGCCTGAGCCCAGCAGGTTGAGGCTGCAGTAACTATGATTGGGCCACTGCACTCCAGCCTGGGTAACAAAGGGAGACCCTGACTCAAACGAACCAAAAGGAAAGAAAGAGAGAGGAAAGAAAGAAAGAAAGAAAGAAGGAAGGAAGGAAGGAAGGAAGGAAGGAAGGAAGGAAGAAAGAAGGAAAGAAAGAGAGAGAGAGAGAGGAAAGAAAGAAAGAAAGAAAGAAAGAAAGAAAGAAAGAAAGAAAGAAGAGAGGGAGAAAGAAAGAAAGAAAGAAGAGAGGGAGAAAGAAAAGAAAATCCAATCTGCACCAGAAGTCTAGACTACAAGGCTAACTCGCACTCTGAGATAACCACTGCAGCCTCGGGGTGCTAGTCGTTCTGGTGGTCTCTCTCCACATCTGCACGCAGAGCTGAATCTGGTGGCATTTACTCAGATCCATTGGGTGTGCAAGATTCCGCAGCCTGCTCTTTTACCGGCTCTCGCTCCACACTCCTGGTGGCCTTGTGGAATTCCATGCTGTGTGTGCCAAGTTATGTAAGCGGCCCCCGACCATGGACACTGAGGCTGTGTCTGAGCCTTCTCCCTTCATCCAAGGTCCCTGGAGCCTGTGGACTTGGAATTTAGAACTGTTTCAGGCTTGGAGAGACTGTGGTGACAGTGTCCTGTGACACAGGTCTGGGCAGTACCCTGATAAGACAGCCGTATTTCTGGAGTGCCATGTGTCTGACTGTGTCTGGTGACATGAAGTGTAAACCTCGGTCACTCTCACACAGATGCTGCCTCTGAATGAACTTGGTGCTGCACTTTAAAAAACGTCTTGCCTCTTTGGAGTTTAGTCTATGGCCCCGGGTAGAAACATGACTGTGACTCCTCTCATGCGCACATCCTGGCCACATGGCCTGTTTCTTCTTAGTGTAAATTCCTAGAGGTGACGGGGAGGATGTGAGATCCATCATCCTGAGGCTGTCTCTGTCCTGCCCTGCCCCTTGGCTGTCACGAGGTATATGGCTATTGTGGGGGTGGGGTGGGGACTTGGCATTCTTTGTCGGACAGCTACCCAGCTGTGTGTCCTTAAGGCCTGGGCCAGTTTCTTCTGTTCCTAGAGCGGGCAGACTCACAACGACTGTGGTGATGCATTCCGCTTGACTGACCAGCTTGGAGGGGACACAGGGACAGCACAGTCGTGAGCTTCCTCAGGGGTGACAGTGAGTAAGAGGACAGAGCATTGGTCCTC